TAAGGTTCATTAGTTAACATTAGTTAACTACTTTAGTTAACATGAACTAAGCATGAACAATACTTCTACAGCATTTATTAATCTTAGTTCATGTTCATTTCAACATTTATTAATGCATTATTAAAATCAAAAGTTGTGCTTGTTCACATTAGTTAATGCACTGTGAATTAACATGAACTAACAATGAACAACTGTATTTTCAATAACTAACATGAACAAAGATTAATAAATACTGTAATAAATGTATTGTTCGTTGTTTGTTCATGTTAGTTAATACATTAACTTACATTAACTAATGGAACTTTATTGTAAAGTGTTACCAGATTTTTTAAAATATATTCGCTATTTTATTATTGATATTCCTGTTAAACTTTGTTTAATTTCTAAACAGTCAAAACCTTCCTCTATTAATTAGTTGAATGCTCATTTTATAATACAATCATTTTATAATACGAACTGAAATTGTACCCCATTTAGGATAGAAACTAAAATAAAAAGCAAAAAAATGCACAGCTGTTATCTGCAGTAAAAATGTACTTACTGTCCGAGGCAAAAGCACTGGTTTGAGTGTGAATATCACCTTGCAGCACAACAACCCCAAAGCAGTCAACCCTGACTGATCACAAACTCTACACTGTAAAAAAAAATCTGTGACATTTACGGTAAAATACCGGCAGCTGTGGTTGCCAGAACTTCACCGTAAAAAATACGGTAGCAACATTTTAGGTTTTACAGACTTAACTTAAATTCCCAATAAAATACTGTATTTCATTAACTGATGTAATGTTAATAAACCAACATATTGAAGTGTTAATATCTGTTTTGAACCATTGTAATGCACTGATAAGCACCAAAAACTGGTGGTGATGAGAAAGTCACATGATGAACCAAAGCTCATCACAAACAGCTTTTCTACGAGCTGAGGAGGGCAATACTTATATATGAAGGTGCACAGTGTCATTCACACAAACACTAAACCCCATCATGGTGACACACATAATATTGAAATAATGCAATAAACATTAATTTGACAACATTAGATGTAAGATTAAACCCTAATGTACACAACTGATAAGAAAAAACTAATGTTATTTCAACAATAAAACATAAAATATGAAGTGCCATGCAGGGAATTCTGGGAGTGTCAATTTAAGTTTTTTCACTGTAAATTATACAATGACTTTTTCTTTTTCACTTCCAAAAACTGTATTTTTAACAGTATTTTACTGTAAAATTACATTAAATGTAATTACATTTATTCACCGAATATAGTATGGAAACTTACTGTTAACCAGTAAACAGGTTTTTACTGTAGCATTTTTACAGTCTTTTACTGTTAAAATCACAATCATTTTTATGGGTCTGTACTGACATGCAAAGAAAAATGGGCAAATTTATAAGCATAGTAAAGTTTGGATTGTTCAGAGAAGTTGGAATTTTATTCAGTTATAGCTGCTGCTGTTACTGATAACAGTCTGTTTAATTCACAGTCTTGATTATTTTAATGCTGCCTTAAAAACACAACATCTGAACATACATACTCTATGCTGTTGAGTAAAGACCCATAGAAAAGATTTTTTTAAATAATTGGTCTGCTCTGATATGTTTGTCTATGGGAAGAGATAAATCCAATATCTTGCGTTTGAATGAACTGAAGCAACAATACAATCTGCACCATCTACAAAGAGATATTTTTAACACCATTGTCATTATAATAAATTATAATAAGTACACTATTAAAAACAAGGGTTCTTTATTGCCCTTGATGGTTCCATGAAGAACCTTTAGGTTCTTTATTGTGAAAATGGGGTTATTTAGATGATTCAAATGTTCTTCACACTAAGAAAAATAAATAGTTCACTGTTCACTGAAAGGTTCTTTAGGGAACCCAAAATGCTTTTTTTATGGCGTCATTATGAAAACCCCCTTTTATACCTTTATTTTTCAGAGTTTGTGGTAAAATGACCCATATAAAGTATATACCTCACTATCAATAACCCATTAACATAATAACATCTAATGCACTTACCTGTGAAGAGGTAGCCAATAAAACTAAGTTCACAAATTCCAAAAGAAGTCCTGTCCCCACAAATATTAGCCAAGTCCTGTGCAAGAGTGGTGAGATGAAGCCGTATAAAGACATGACTCAACACACGACTGCTGCTCTGGAGAAATTGCTCCGCTTATCAGACCACAGACACACCCAATAATCTCTGATCTTCTGCTGGAGATATTAGAAGTGGTAAATGCATACAAACATATCCAGGATATGAAATGAACTAAACCCTAATGATCAAACTATTTGTAAACCACAGAGCTGTAGAAGTATACATTATTGTCTGAACTAAGATAAACTCAGTTTGGGTCTGCTCAAGTGCAAACCATTTTAATGGGTCTAGCATTGCTTTATTTTCTTTGAAGTCAGCATGAAATGGAAATTCACCCTATCTATTTTCTAAATGCATGTTACCAATCTTTTTATTTCTTGCAAATTTGGTTAGAAATATGATCTAGGCACTGGGATTTATTTACATATTCCTTTTAGAAATGTACTGTGGTGGTATCAGATGGTAGTCATAATAGCATGGGGAGACTGTGGATAGATGTTATATTGTTTTACTCCAGTAAGTATTTCTCAGTGTTTATGAAAGTCAGTTTCTGTATAGACACAAAGTCTTGGCCACAATGGAGCCATTAAACGCTATTGCCCAGGAAAAAGATACTGTTCACAGTTGCTTGAGACCGGGGCATGTTGTCACACTATATGATGCAAGTTCTTTCTATCAGTCTATCTATCTATCTATCTATCTATCTATCTATCTATCTATCTATCTATCTATCTATCTATCTATCTATCTATCTATCTATCTATCTATCTATCTATCTATCTATCTGTCTGTCTGTCTGTCTGTCTGTCTGTCTGTCTGTCTGTCTGTCTATAACATCTATCTATCTATCTATCTATCTATCTATCTATCTATCTATCTATCTATCTATCTATCTATCTATCTATCTATATCATCTAGCTATCTATCTATATCATCTATCTATCTATCTATCTATCTATCTATCTATCTATCTATCTATCTATCTATCTATCTATCTATCTATCTATCTATCTATCTGTCTGTCTGTCTGTCTATCTCATATATCTCATCTATCTATCTATCATAGTTTTGGTTTGAACGTGGGGAGTTGAAGTGTGAACTGTTTTAGTAGAGTCCCGGGTCATGCTCACTCATAAGGTTTATTTATTTGTTTGTTCGCTTATATATTTATTTTTGTGAAATGATCTTTTGTGCAGTGTTAGATCTATGCAAAGTTGATGCAATAAAGTAACATCATAATTAACAATTACTTGCTTACATAGCATACACTGTATCTATGTAATGTATTTTATATGATTTAGGCACTTATAGGCTATAATTTGACAGAATGTTCTAATTCAACATGCCATGGGAAGTCAATCTAACTTAACATTTTCTTATATTGATATTGTATATTTCTTACTCCTTAACAGTTCATCAGGCTCTTAATGATTTATTCTATGCCATCTTTTGGAATATCTGAAGGCCATGTACCATAGTTCTTAACTGTATAGCATTTGTTATAATAAAACTCGCCTATTAATCATTACCATTAGCATTTGTTATGAAGAAACAACCACCTGCACATTTAGAACCAACAGCTACAACATGCCACAGTTGTAATATAAATCTATAGGGAAATATCTATTCCCTTAACAGATTATCTAATATAAATTCTACAAGTTAGACTAAATTTGACAATAAATAAGCCTACAATAAAATGTGATAAATTCTAGGAAAGGTGGTCATGATTTAAAAATATTTGAATAGCCTATATGTTAGTGCTGGTTCAAGACTTTTCTCCTCATTTTAGTTTATTTGCCTTTTTTAGATAATGATTGACTTTCTCCATGGCATTTTAAAGTGGCTGTTTCTGTAAATAATTCAAATAGATCACATATTTAACCATCAGCTTCGTGATAGGAATGGCTCTCCTGAATCTTATCACACTTCTCGAGCACGCTGGTGAACGCACCATGCTTCAAGTCGAACGCGCCTAACAAGCATTCTCTATGGGGTTCAGGTCTGTTGAGTTTGCTGGCCAGTCAAGGGCTATGAACTTCTCCACCCTTCCTCCAGACTCTATGACCTTGGTTTCCAAATGAAATACAAAACTTGCTCTCATCTGAAAAGAGGACTTTGGACCACTGTGCAACAGTCCAGTTCTTCTTCTCCTTAGCCCAGGTAAGACGCCTCTGACGTTGTCTGTGGTTCAGGAGTGGCTTAACAAGAGGAATACGACAACTGTAGCCAAATTCCTTGACATGTCTGTGTGTGGTGGCTCTTGATGCCTTGACCCCAGCCTCAGTCCATTCCTTGTGAAGTTCACTCAAATTCTTGAATCCATTTTGCTTGACAATCCTCATAAGGCTGCGGTTCTCTCGGTTGATTGTGCATCTTTTTTTCCCACACTTTTTCCTTCCACTCAACTTTTTGTTAACATGCTTGGATACAGCACTCTGTGAACAGCCAGCTTCTTTGGCAATGAATGTTTGTGGCTTACCCTCCTTGTGAAGAGTGTCAATGATTGTCTTCTGGACAACTGTCAGATCAGCAGTCTTCCCCATGATTGTGTAGCCTAGTGAACCAAACTGAGAGACCATTTTGAAGGCTCAGGAAACCTTTGCAGGTGTTTTGAGTTCAGGTGATATTCTAATTTGTTGAGATAGTGAATTGGTGGGTTTTTGTTAAATGTGAGCCAAAATCATCACAATTAAAAGAACCAAAGACTTAAACTACTTCAGTCTGTGTGCATTGAATTTATTTAATACACGAGTTTCACAATTTGAGATGAATTACTGAAATAAATGAACTTTTCCACGACATTCTAATTTATTGAGATGCACCTGTAGACTGTATAAAAACAGGCTTCGATTCGAGGCTTCATCTGGCACGCCCACTTATTCTCGACACAAGCTCCGCCTCCGATGCCTCGGTTCAAATGTCACATGATTCCATCGCTAACTGCCTGCCGAGAAGACTGGGCACATCTCTGCTTTCCTCACTCGTAGCCATGCAAAACTGACCACTTTACCATATCTACATCATCCTCTGACACCAGGAATGAAGACTTGGGAGTTTAAGTTAACACAAGGTACACATTTAGAGAGTTTATATTGTAAAACCTCGCGCTGATATTGGATTGACACTTCTCCACGACGTTAATCTATGCAGCCGGCTAACATCAGCTAGCAGATTTACTAATTCAAACACCTCTATATATGTTATATCAGCTGCTATTCAGCGGTACATCGTGTAATTTAACATCTTAGATTGAGGCTTGTGCAGACTTGTGGACTGTTTTTATTTCTATAAGCGCAGGGGGTGTTATGAATGTAAACCGTAGTTAGCTTGTTAGCTAACTAACATTAACAGCTGAGTAAGTTAACAACACGCCCGTTTATTTACATAAACATTTATTTTGACTAGATGTTTGATTACAACTATTATTGTAGAGTTTATTGTTTGGCCACATATTTGTTTTCTTTAATAATAAGGATTTCTTTTATTTACGTCAGTTAGTGTCTCACAGCTAACTACAGTACTTAAGCAAAATGTTACATGTATTAACAATGTTGCTTTATAATTTCAGCTCAAAATTCTAATATTTCATTAATTTAAATTTCACGTGATTTCCTTGAGAATAAAGTACTTATGTGGTACCATGGTACTTATTTTCCAAGAACACCATGGTACTACGTTGATTCATATTAATGAACATAGAATTAAATGGTGCTTATTGGTGATGGCTTTTATTTTTACATGAAAATTATATGATATTCATTGCATTTTAAAGACTACTATATGCATGTATATAATGTATGTGTGTGTGTATATATGTATGAGAGAGAGTTAATGTGAGTGTATGTGTTACATCACAGAGTAGTATGCTGGACGTGGGAAAGTGGCCGGTGTTTGCCCTCCTGCCCCCTGAGGAACTGCGGCTCATCCGTCAAGCCTGTGTGTTCGGCAGTGCTGCAAATGAGGCTATCTACGTTACCGTCAGTGATGAGGTACAGCCATGCTGAAAGCTTTTAGTGGACAGATGTCCACCCCAAAGAGAAAGGAAAATGAACACAGATCCTTGCTGGAAATTGTTCATTAGGTTCGGTGGAGTTCTTGCTCTCTCATACACATCAGGACTCAATGATAAGGATGCTTCAGTAAGAATGCGTTCATAATTACGAACAAATCAGTAAAATTATGAGTCGTTTGCCATCATTTTAAAATTTAAAGGGGTCATATGACGCGATTTAAATTTTTCCTTTCTCTTTGGGGTGTTACAAGCTATTGGTGCATAAAGAAGATCTGTAAAGTTGCAAAGACTAAAGTCTCAAATCCAAAGAGATATTCTTTATAAAAGTTAAGAGTCAACCACGCCTACCTAAAACGGCTCGTTCTAACACGCCCCCACATGTCTACGTCACGATGTGGGAAGATTTGCGTAATGCTGCCCAAATGTTCACGCAAAGAAAGAATGCGTAACGTTTATTCTCGCTGTAGTATTGTTGTTGCCGCCACCATGTCGTGAAGGCGCTGTGTTTCGTTGTGAAAGCGAAACTACTTTGTTTGGCCTTCCAAAAGAGGGCGATATCTGCTTCGTCATGCCTGGAGCTGATCCGTGCTGGTCGCTGAGAAAATACAACAACTTTGCGCTGTGGCTCAGCGGATCGGCTTTCACCGTGGATGAAGCGGAGTCCGGCCCGGAGTCGTCACATGTGGTTGCCGCAAGCCCTCCGGACGCTCCTTCGTCGAATCCGCCGGCCGCACCGTTCTCAAGCCAGCTGCCTCCGCTCACTCTAGCCCTCCGGCCGTTCCTCACTCTAGGCCGCCGTGTGTGACGCTGTGTTTCATTGTGAAAGCGAAACTACTTTGTTTGGCCTTCCAAAAATGGACACGACTAGAAATCAGTGGTTAAGTTGTATTTACAACACTGTTCTAGAACACTTCAACCCAAATATTCAGATGTGTGCAGCACATTTTATGGAGGACCGTTTCCTGATCCTGGAGAGTAGACTACAATGCCGGCTGTTCTGACTCACGGACTGTATGTTTTTTTTTTTATATTTAAATAGTTTTTTGGGCAGTGTAGAGTAGGGCTTGTGTTTGTCATTTCTCCGATCACAAATGCAGACATGGTTTTATGTTTACGCAGTGCGATGCAGTGTAAAAAGACATTATAATCCATAATTATGTCCCCACTGGATGCAACAAATGCCTAGATTATAATGGATTTTAATGTTTTTGTCTCGTCGCTCCGGCCGGACAGGGCATAACATTTCCGTCACACGCTTGAGGTATTTGGCCAATCATAACGCACTGGATAGCTGGCCAATCACAGCACACCTTGCTTTTTAGACCGATGAGCTTTGTAAAAATTTACGCGTTTTAGAAAGGCAGGGCATAGAAGAGAAACAATAATGTACAGTATGTGGTAAATAATGTGTTTTTTTAACCTTAAACCGCATAAACATTTCAATACCCCAAATACACACAATAATGTTCTTTTTAGCAACATCGTAAATACAGGTTTTTTTGTTTATTGGTATCTACATTATTACATTTATCTACATTTGTGTTGTGTGTTTTTAAAAGACATTTGTAATGTTACAAAAGATTTTTTTTTCAAATAAATGCTGTTCTTTTGAACTTTACATTGATCAAAGAATCTTGAAAAATAGCATAATGGTTTCCACAGAAATATTAAGCAGCACAACTATTTTCAACAGATAATAACAAATATTTCTTAAACACCAATTCAGCATATTGGAATGATTTCTTAAGGATCTTGTGACACTGAAGACCAGCGTAATGGCTGCTGAAAATTCATATTAAAATAGAAAACATTTATCTAAATTGTAATATAATTTCACAATATTAATTTTTACTGTCGTTTTAAACAAATAAAGGTGGCTTTGGTGACCATAAGAAATATTTTTCTCCTTTTAAAAAACAAATTTTACCAACCCCCAAATTTATAAACATAAAATGTATGTATATATATATATAATTGTGGAGTCAGTCGAAAATGTAGTCAGGAAAAGTAAAAATTTAATCTACAATAAAAATTGTTGAGCCATGCACACACATACTGATAGGAAAGAGACAGAGTGAACTTGGGCTGGTGATTAGCAGATAGAACACGGCTATATTTAGGCCTGTAATACTAACAAAATCCTTGTTTGCTTCCTGAGAGTAGCTCTGGTGCACGTCCCGAGCCTGGCCACTTCCTTTTTTTTCTTTTCATGCTTTAAAATATTTAACCACAATAAAACATGGACAGCACTTAAGGTACCATTTATCTTTTCAACAAAAGCTTTCTCATCAAAAACTCTTTTTATCTCATGTACATATTGTAAGTAGGGATCAAGTGCTAAACTGAAAGCACAAAGTGCCTTTAAGAATGCTGTGTAAACAGAATTGTAGTTATGTAGAAGGAGCGGCTAGAGTTGAGCTTTGAGAGGCTGACTGCAGCTCATCCAATCAGATTTTAGAGCCAGAACGATCTGTTCTGTAAATATACGCAAATGGTCTTGACCGATATTCCCTCAGTATTGAATGATAGTCAATGGCATAATGAACTATGAGTAGGGCTGTCAAAATTAACACATTAATTGATTATTATTATTTTTTTTCAGTTTAACACGTTAAAAAAATGTAATGCGATTAACGCCGCATGCTTTTTAAAATTTTTTAAAACTGGCATTCTCTTTATATTTAAATTTTTTTTTCTTGTTATATTGTTTATAATAAATAGATTGAGGAATACTAAGAAAGTTGATGTCTAACTTAAAAAAATGTAGGAGGGAGAGGGTAGAGAATGATGTTCCGGGTCGCTAAAGACCCGGGGTATGCATTTAAGGGTTAAGTTATTTTTCAAATCCTATTAATTGTAAAAAAAAAAAAAAAAGGCTTTCAGTTATACTGTAATGTTGAATAGCTATAATTAATGGCTGAAAATGCATTTAGTAGAGACCTCAGTATTGGTATCCATGATACTGGTCTTCATTAGTAATGGGCTACTTTGTAAAAATTATGCCATTAAAAATACATATTTAAAAAAAATATACCATCTTTGTTCTTTTTACATTTAATTTGGAGATTCAATGTGAAATTATGACAATATTAATTTATTATATTAATATGCGATTACTAGTGATTACAGAAATGTGTGATACATTTTTTTTAGTCAATTTACAGAACTAACTGTAATTAAATGTAATATAAACTTAATGAAAAGTTCTTGTCAAGTGTTCAACCACCTAAACTAAAAATGTCTTACCCACAGGTATTTGCACTGGGGACGAACTGCAGTGGCTGCCTAGGGCTTGGGGACACGCAGAGCACCATTGAGCCCAGGCGAATAGACATCTTGTGTGGGAAGAAAATTGTGTCTTTGAGCTATGGCACAGGGCCACATGTAGTCATCGCCACCGCAGGTTGGACATATTTTTTGACATGAAACGAAGGCAATGATTTGGTATTTTGCTGTACAAAATCATTTTGGTTGCAGGATGGCAACATTAGAAATATTTCTATGGTGAAAATTCATGAATATTATAATTTTTTATCACAAATATATATTATTGTTATATATTGTTGTGCAGCCCTAATGTCAGGGGTCAGATATTATAATACATGAGTTGGACATTCCCTGTACCCATACGTTCCTATATTCAGGGCTGGACTGGTAATCGGGCATACCGGGCATTTTCCCTGTGGGCCGACAATGGTTTTTTTTTTTTTTTGTGCCAAGGACCATCACGCATGGACAGTGAGCAGCCAGTGGCCCATTGGTTTGTCTCCTGTATTGACAGCATAAACCACCCTATCACAATAGGGACGCACCGACTGTTCGGCAACCGAAATTATTCGTCCGAATAAGTGAAAAGACCAAATAAATCAGAGTGAGAGGCGTGCATTCTTTATAATGCAGCACACATGTCAGCAGTGTGGAAGCATTTAAAACTGTCCAAGAAAGACGCAAAAATCATTACAAGCACCGACATCGAGAGACTGTTTAGTACTGCAGCGCATGTTAACCAGGGTTCAAAGTCCAAAGCCCGAGGAAAATCTGCGCTGAAACCATGTTACTCGTCAGTTGCTCAGTCACATTTTTATTAATTTTTACAAGGCATGTGACAATGCAATACATACGTCGATGAGACTCATTTATAAATCTACTGTCAACAAAAAGAAGCATTGAGGTCTTCCTGCACATTTCCACCAAAATAAAAATTGAGAAAAAGCAAGAACTCTATCAACATTCATAAATGTTAGTATTGTAATTTTACTGTTGTTCTGTAAAATAAAATAAAAAGTAAGACAATAATAATGATAATAATCATTACAACAGCTCTGGTAATAACATTCACACAGTGTTTTAGGACCTGTAATATTTTCTAATGTTTTAAAAGAAGTCTCTTCTCAGCAAGGCTGCTTTTAATTGTACAGTAAAAAATACATGCCTGATTCAAGAAGGGGGTCTGATGGCCAAAAAATATTATTTTACTAACTCATTAATTTTAAGTTAAATTGTGCTTTGTTGGTATAGTGTCTGCTAGAATGCTAAAAATGTTCAGTGTTAATTTTTTAATTGTTGTTTTGTAATTGATTTTCCTCTTTGAAAAGCAAGACAAAACAGTAAAAAGCACATTTTGGCTATTTAATTTTTGCAGTGATGAAAACAAAAGAAACCTAAAAAAAAGCGTATTCGGTATTCGGCCCAGTGTTTCATTTTGTTCAATTTCGGTAAATTATAGAAGTTAATACTTTTAGCAAGGATGCTTTAAATTGATCAAATTATGATAGACATTTATAATGTTACAAAGTACTTCTATTCTTCTAAATGCTGTTCTTCTGAACTTTATTCATCAAAGAAATTTTATACTCCGCTGCTTTCAACATAATAATAATAATAAATGTTTTTTGAGCAGCATATTAGAATGATTTCTGAAGGATCATGTGACACTGAAGACTGGAGTAATGATGCTAAAAATTCAGCTTTGAAATCACAGGAATAAATTATATTTTCAAATAGAAAACAGTAATTTTAAATAGTAAAAATATTTCAAAATGTTAGTTTTTGCTGTATTTTGGATCAAATAAATGCAGGCTTGGTGAGCAGAAGAGAATTCTTTAAAAAACATGAAAAATCTTACTGTTCAAAAACTTTTGACTGGTATGTTACCCTATAGTTTGAAGTAAAAAATAATAATATTAATAAGGAGAGTCTGAGATTTATTTGACAGTGATTTCACATTTCTTGTTTGTATGAAGGCTAAATACCAATAAAAGGTGAACATTTATTTATTTGCGCCATTTTTTTTCCTAAAATATTATGTAGTTTTATAGGAGTAGGTTTCATAGAGTTGGCAAATTAAAGTTTGTAGGTACAGACATCTGTTGTGGCCGTTCTTGGACGTTTTTATGAGGCTTTTTTAATAGTGTTCATATCGATATCGGAATTATATCGTATCGACCGAAATTAAGAAATATATCGTGATATAAATTTTGGCCATATCGTCCAGCCCTACGACAGCTACCAAAAAAAACAACAATAATCCCGCGACGCCCGCGTTCCATCCTGACGGATGACAGTCGTGACAGCTAAGTGGAATCCCGGAAAATAAACCGTGGAACTTTGACCAATGAGGGAACAGTTTACTCGCACGTGACTTGTATTAACAAATTTGGTTCGTTTAGAAACTTTGCCGTGTGAAAGCGAACCACACCAAGAATAAAAAACAACATTGTAATAATTTTAATCCCTGTTTCGGAACAAAGCAATCGATCTACAGGTG